GATGTGGTCCTCAATGTTTACCTGTACTGTAGGAGAGAGAGGTGGACAGAGTGCGATGTGGACCATTCCTCTCGAAGGCGTTCTAGAGCTCATACTGGGATGGAGTCTGACTTTGAGGAGCGTCTGTCTGAGAGCACATGCTTGCTTTCCCCTAGAACTGCCTTCCAGGGTTTAACGTGTACAATACCATCCATGGAGGGACGTATACAACCCAAGGAAGTATTTTCGGCAGGGATGCATCCACTACATTATTCAGTAGTGTTCATGAATATCATTCACCACATTACACAGGAGACTAATATGAAACTTAAATATTGACACACAACTCTGTTTCTCCTATTAAATTGGCATGCTATTTCTGTCTTAGATGCAAATGAATATTTGTAACGGGTATGTTTCCACTTTGGCTATCAGGGATGTTAAAGCTACATTTGTGTCTCAGTTTTAGCAACAGTGTCTATTGATTATCGTTTTGTACTAACATGTCCATTTAGGTATCTTGTGTGCTTCCTGGTCTCAATTAGTTATTAAATTTTCCTTTTACTTTGTTTTCTGTTGCCTCTTCTGTTCCTTATTTCATTGCTCCCTTGCCTTCTTAAAAATATGTACATAATGCTTGACATAGTTTTTTTTCAAGCTGTCTCACATCTTTTAGAGGAGCTAATCAAAACATACATATAAAAGTAATTAAGGAATTTCCAGAAAATCTGCTGGAAAATAGAACCGCAACCCATGCTGTTAATATCTTGAATTCCATGTAAATTAGCTCCTCAAGTTCCTTAAAACTAAAGTATGAGTTATTTCTCCAGAAATCAGAAACAAGTAAGCTTATTTTTCTAATCAAAGAAACAACACCTCTCCCTTTTTTTTTCTGTTCTGAGAAAATACCACTTTCTTCAAGAAAATATAACTGTTTTCATTGTAGCTACCAAGTGTAATCATCTGAAATTTTGCCTTTATCAAAAGGGCCAACCAGAAGGAGTAAGAAGCTCAAATGCTTACACAATGGCAGATGTGAGACGTAATGCGACAGGAGACTACAAATGCTCCCTGATAGACAAAAAAAGCATGATTGCTTCAACAGGCATCACAGTTCACTGTAAGTCACCTTCTTCATTGTCATTTGCACCTGAAAGCTCCCAAATATCCTAACCTGGCTATGTTGTCAAGTAAATAGTAGCTGTTTCGTAAATTACTTGCTTCCTGGGGACTCACTCAAGACCAACAAAGCCCGCTCCCCGTGGGTCCAACTTTGCACTGCAGTGTTTAAACCCTGCGTGGATTTGATCATTTCAACCTCTGGCAGCAGGCAAACCCATCTGTTTCCTAAATATCCTTAATTTGTGGCACCAATAAACATTATTTACCCAAATCTTAATCCTTTCATTTAGAAAAAAAATACTTAGATAATCTTGAAGCCCATAAGGTTTGCACTTGTCCCAGAAAAGATTTCCATTACAGCTAAGCCACATGACGTACTATAGACTGATAACGTCTATGATCCCGATACACAGTGATCCGAGATCACAGTGCAGGACAGCAGAGGCTGGATTTCTTCCAACCGCAGACTGCCACCTCTTCCTCTGGTGGAGCAGCTGCTCTTTGGGTTCGCCGCTGAATGTTTTAACTATTGCACCAGCAGGGCTTCTCAGAAGAGAAGGAGCCAAACTGACTGTCATGGCATCAACTCCCCTGCATAACAATCAGTTCTGGCCACAGGGTCTCTGAGGCTATAAAACTGTAACAATAGCCTCATCTTTCCCTCACGGAGTGACTGATGGGTTTGAATCTCTGATTTTGAGATTAGTAGTGAAGCATTCACCCAAGAGTGCCATTTAAAATCATTCATTCCTTATACAGACACTATCTAAAACGAACCACCCCCTGACTCCATTTATTGTACCGTGGTGGCGTGGTGTTGTTGTGATACTAGATGTGATACTGAATCCCACTGTTATGTGAAATATCAGCAAGATCACCCCAGGCGAACAAGTTTCAGTAGGCGAACAAGTTTCAGTGTGTGTCCAGGCTGAGAATAGGCTATAAAGAAGAAGTAGAGTTTCTCTCTCTGAGGGATTAGCCATGGAAAGCTTTAGGAGGAGCAGCGGAATGTTGGCAGATACACTCCTGGAGGATGAGCTCCTCAGGTTAGAAGAACCTTAAAGTAAGACTGTGAAAGAGCTGCCTCCTCAAAGTAGAGTCTGCCATCATGGCACGGATAGAGGATAGCTTTGGGGACCTTTATTTAAGGCTAGGACATGATTCAAAATAAAAAGATACAACTGCTTACATAAAGTAAGAATCAGAAATTGACATGTACAAAGTATGAATCTAAGAAATTTGGAAACCATAAAGGATGAAATAGTATTCATAAAGATTGATATCCTGGGCATTCGTGAGCTGAAATGAACTGGTATTGGCCATGTTGAGTCGCCAGTCATGTAACTTACGAGGTCGGGGATGCAAGCCCAAGAGAACAGCATCACATCATCGTCCAAAGGAACATTGAAAGCTCTGTCTTGATACATTGCTGACTGTACTAAGATGATGTCTATACATCTACAGGGTGTCCAGTTAATATGGCTATTGTTCAAATTTACATAGCAACTTCTAAGGCCACTGTTGAAGAAATTGAAGAATTCTACCAATCTGTTCCCTCTTAGCCTGACCAAACATAAAGTTAAGATGCATTATTATTGGTAATTGGAATACAAAAATTGGAAACAAAGAGGAAAGACCACTAGTTTGAAACTGGCTTTAGTAATAGAAAGGAAACTGGAGATTGCATGATAGAATTTTGCAAGACCTACTCCTTCGTTGTGAATATTTTTTCTTTATTTTTAATAGGTTTATTGGCATATAATTCACATATCATACAATTCAATAGTTCAATCATTTTAAAAATAGTTTTATAATCATCACCACAATCAATTTTAGAACAGTTTCTTCTTTCTTATACTAATTGTTGTTGGCTCCCCATTTCCCCCCAAAATCCTGTCTTATCTCCAAGAAACCATTAGTCCAGCTAATGTCTCTATAGATTTACTTATCTTGGATTTCATATAGAGAAAAAATACCAGGGTGTGGGAGAGAAACAACAGTAACAAAGTAAACAAAGGAAATCCTCAATCAAAATGAAAGCAGAAAATCCCAAAACCTTGAACAAATTTAAAGTGGATCAATAGGGAGATCAAATGAGAAGATGTGAAGTTTTAACCTAAGTGCATCTGCAATAATCCACTTCCCAACGCACTCTGCATGATAGCAAGGGCATTCACTTCCCTAGTCTAAGGTCACAAGAGAGGCTTGATCCGTGTATATACCCGACAAATGAATTGTAGGCTTCCAGTGTCATCCATAGCGAATGTTATTTTGTAATCACATAAGTGGTGAGTGTATATGTCCACTCTGGAGTACACAGCCCCTGCCCCCACCATAAACACAAAAACGAAACCTAAACCCACTGCTATCGAGTCAGTGCTAATTCATAGCAACACTGTAGGACACAGGTAAAACTGCCCCTGTGAGTTTCAAGGCTAACTCGTTAAAGGAATAGAAAATTTCATCTTTCTCCCAAAGAGTGGCTGATGGTTTTGAACTGCTGACCTTGCAGTAAATAGTCTAATGTGTGACCAGTATGCCACTAGGGCTCCTGACATGGGAATCAGATTGACCATAACTGTAGGAAGAGTCAATGGAGAAGCCCAATATCAGCCAAAACAAAGTAAGGGGCCAACTTTGAAGAAAACTAAAACATCCCACCAGAACCAAAATGCAATTTCAAGTGTATCCCATTTGAGTTTAGGGAACATCTCAAAAATAGATTTGGCACATTGAACACTAATGACCAAAGACTTAGTGAGTTATGGAATGGCATCAAGACCATCAGGCATGAAGAAAGCAAAAGTTCATTAAGAAGAAAAGAGACAAAGAGAAGTTCAAAGTGAGTGTCTGTTGAGATGCTGAAGCTCACTCTAGAATAGCTGAAGCCAACAGAAGAAATAGTAATGTCAAAGAGCAGACTAGAAAACGTCAAGGGACAGATAAAGAAGACAAAGTAGAATATTACAAGGAAATGTGCAAAAACCAAGAGCGAGAAAGCCAAAAAATGAAGAACATGCTTCTCCTATCTCATGCTAAAAAAAGTGGAGTAAAATGAAAGTCTCATGTTGCAATATTGAAGGATTTCATAGACCAAATATTGAATGATGCAAGAAACCACATTCTTGACTCTCATATATTTCACTGTTTCTCGATATATGAAACGCCGATTGGGTAAATCTATAGAGATGATAAGTGGAATAAGGGTTCCTGGTTGGTAATATGGTGCTGATATCAAGGAGTACAAGAAGGAAAGGAATGCTTTTAAAAAGATTGTGATAGTGATTTTACAACACTGCTTGATATGACTAAACTAGTAAATGATATGGTATCTGGATTATGTCCTAATAAAATGGTGATGATGATGATGACGGAAATGAAGAAAAAGAACAAGAAGGAGGAGGAAACACACAGTCATTTTACCAACTGGCCAGTGTTCAAACATTTACAGGAGTAGCACTTAATCAAGAACAAATGATATTTAAAAAATAAGTCTAAGCTGTACTGAAGGCAATGGTAAAAAGAAAACAAACAAATAAACAAGGCTCCAGGAATTGATGGGGCACCAATTGAAATGATTCAGAAAGCTAATGAAGCACTCAGTCCTCTACACCATGAAATTTGGAAGACAACTCCCTGGCCGACCCTCTGGCAGAGATCCATATTTGTATCAAGTCCAAAAAGGTGATGCAACAGAATGCAGAAATTATCAAGCAATGTAATATCATTAATACTGCATACAAGGAGAATTGTACTGAACCTAATATTTAAAATATCTGGACCAGTACATAGACAGGAGCTGGAAGAATTTCTCGCTGGATTCAAAAGAAGATGTGGTATGAATGATAACATTGTTGATATCAGATAGATCAGAGAATACCAGAAATATATTTATTTGTGTTTTATTGGCTATATCAAGGCACTTGACCATGTGAATCGTCACAAACAAAAGATAATATTGAGAAGAATTGGGGATTCTAGAACATTTCATTGTGCTCATGTGGAACCAACAGGCAATCATTCAAATCACACAAGGCATACATCATATATTAAAATCAGGAAAGGTGTATGTCAGGGTGGTATGCTTTTACTGTATTGATTCAATCTGTATGTTGAACAAATACTCGAAGACATTTGACTGTATGACAAAGAATGCTGCAACAGAAGAGAAGGAAGACATTAGTAATCTGAGGTGTGCAAAGGACATGGATTTGCTTGCTGAAACTGAGGAGAACCTGCTCAAACTCATTAGCACATGCTAATGAAATTCAAAAATTGCAACCTTCAGTATGGAATGTCATTCACTATAAAGAAAATACAAATCCTAAAAACTGGACCAATTGATAGCACCATGATAAACCTAAAAGAGTTTGAAATAATCAAGAATTTCATTTTACTGCGATTCCCAATTGATGCTCATGCAAATAGCAGTTAAAAAGTCAGAAGACATATTGCATTGGGCAAATCTACTGTGCAAGCCCTTTTAAAACTCTAAACGAGCAAGGCTGTAACTGGACCCAAGCCATGCTATTATTATTTGCCTCACATACATGCAACAAATGGACAATGAATGAAGCAGACTGAAAAGAACTGATGCATTTGAATGATGGTGTGAGTGACCATGACTGAAATCACTGTGGACTCCCAGAGGAACAAGCAAACTTAGAAGTATACCCAAAATGGCCCTGAGAAGCAAGGTTGGCAAGACTTCATCTTACATACTTGGACATATTATCAGGAGAGACTCATATGCTCAGTAAAATAGAGAGACGGCAATAAAGAGGAAGACTTTTCACAAGATGGATTGGCACAGTTGCTTCAACAATGCACTCAAACATAGCACAGCTGTGAAGGCCGAGCCCGGCCAGTCAGTGCTGTGCTCTGCTACACATAGGGCTGCTGTGAGTCAGAGCTAACTCAGAGATGCCTGGCAACAACGAAAAGGGATTTAAAAAATCACCACAACCATTTCCCTTCATTAGTCTACTGTTTTTAAACCTGCTTTTAATCTCCAGCTATGAAAAAGAGTTACCTTTACCCCAGGGTAGTAGGAAACAGATATCCAGAAAAGCAAGCATACAAAACAGACTTATTTTAATTGATTGGCGGCGGAGGGGGCGGAATTCATGACCATATTATTGATCTACCTATGGAAGGGCACCATGTTGACAGGAAGCTGACTTGGACTGTTTGGGAGGACACCGGGATGCACACATTGCCCGGTCTGTGTGGCACTCCTAACCAACATTTTAAAATAAGTCTTTGCACCCACAGCTTCATCACTAAAATGTCCTCTAGCTATGAGCCACTAAGATTGCATTCAGGGTGAGGTGTTTCTAGTTTAAAAACTGAAAAGATGTTTCAGAAGTTGTCCTGGGGCAATGGCTGTAAGTGTTGATCATGCTTAAAGCCGTTTGCAAGGGGAGCAGAAATGGAAAGGAGATAGAGAGGCACTTTGGGGAATAGTAAAACCGGATGGTTGCTTTGAGTGTTTGATGTTGGGCGCACACCATCGGGAGTCCTGAGAAAACATTGGTCTGTTACAAAAAAAACTGTTCACAGCTAGGCCATTTCTTTGCTCCATATTCATAGGCAGATCTGAATGTGGCTGTCACCAGAGGCCAGTTACAGCAAAGCAGTGACCGCTCAGCATAACAACAGTGCTGCTTTCTCTCAAGCAGTCACGAGACCATTTCTCCTGGACTGTTCATGGGAAAGGCATATATATATATATATTATATATACATGTAAAGGAATAAAAATAGAATTTTTACCATATTTTTAAAAATATTTAGACTTTCCTGTTGAATAATTCTCTGATGTTATTACCCGTGAGCACTTTGTGTTAATAACTAATAATCCAGTGCCTGGAAGATGGTCTGGCATGCTTATGTTTAAAACATGCTAGCAACATGGAACGTTAAAATGACAGTGCTGTTATTCCAAGTACCTGTAGACCAGGCTGGGAGGGAGCCATAAAAGGCAAGCTAATAAGGACTAAGTCTTCAAAATAGTTACATTGTACCTCTGTGACAATAAGTAACATACTTATTATCAAATAGATCAATGCTTTATCCTAAATCCTATAGAAAAACATAAAAATCTTATTTTTCCATCTATGTTTGCTTTCCTTATGTGACCCAAGGGAATTTGGGTACAGGAGCATAATCCATACCTACATGAAGTTGCAGAACACACCTCTCATCAGAGCTTTCAGTCCAGGGAAACGTATTTGCTCATGAAACAGCAGCTATTCTTCTGCCAATTCATGAACATGTGTAAGGAGTACCCACCCCCACCCCCAACACACACACCCAAATGAATAAAGCTCCACTGGGTGGAGCTTTTGTAGTACACATTGTTCCCCTTAGGCGAACATCCTACAACTCCCTTTGAATTAGTGCACCCAGTGGCATCACCCAGGAAATGTCTCTCTGGTCATAGTGAATTTTTTTTCATAAGAGCAGTTTTGCTTTTTGTTTTTGTGTGGTGGCTGATTTAAGAGAACAGCGTGTGGCGGTGAAATTTTGTCTCCTGCTCAGGAACTGTTGTGATGTTGACCACAGCTTACAAGGACATCACTATGGGAAAGGTCATGTGTATGAGTGGTTGTCTTGTTTCAAAAGAGGTGAAATGTCTATTGATGACAAACCTCATTCTGGACGTCATCAACTTCTTGAATGGATGAATATGTCATCTTGTAGTGCATTTGGAGTTCGTTCTATCAGCTCATACTGTTAATCGAGCTTTTTATTTAGAGGTGCCGAACATATTGCATCACAGTGTGCATCAAAAAACACCTGATTTGTGGCAGACAGGGAACTGATAATGCACCTGCTCATGCTGCCATCTCAGTGCACTGGTTTTTGGCAAAATACAGCATGCCTCTCTTGCCCCATTCACCTTACTCACCTAACCTCACTCCATGTGACTTCTTTTTGTTTCTGTGAATGCAGAGGGACATGAAAGGACAGCTGTTTGTTGATGTAGAAGAGGTGAAGAAAAAAAGGGAGGTGCTGTCATCCATCCCAATGAGTTTGAAAAATGTTTCCAAGATTGGAATCGTAGATTTGACAAATGTATTAAGTGTAATGGAGAGTACTTAGAAGGTGATTAGGGTGTTTTGTAAAACCAAAATTAAATACATAGCTTTGAAAAAAAAATTCCGTTGGTGGGGGGTACCCCCTTACATAGATTCTTGATCAACATTGATGAAATCTATCATCATCACTTAAAATCAATTATTCTGTTATTAACTGTCAAGTTAACTGTCCAGCTAATGAAGTCTTCTAACCCACACTATTTTTTTAAAAGTCCAAATATAATTCACTGAAAAATTCCAAGGAAATCACTCAGATATGAAATGGTGAACTCATTACCTAAACTGAGAAAGTACTCTTCTTATCTCAACTTATTCAACAGTAGTTTCTGAAAGACCACCACCTGTGGCAGGTGTTAAAGTTACACGAGTGGCAAACCAAGGCACGGGCCCTACGTTCATGGTGTTCGCAGTCTAAGACAAAAGAGAAACATTTAAAACAAGTTGTAATTATAATATATACAGCTGAGAAGAAGCAGAGGTCGAATAAAGTCCCTCTATCTAGTCCCAGCACCTAACAGAGCCACCAAGATCCCATACAGAGTTAAAATTACCATTGTGAAATCAGCCAAGCTCTACCTCCCTTGGCTTTTGCCTGTGTGGGAACATTTTTCCCCCTACACTTTCACCCATTAAAACTCTTTCAAACATCCAGGTCCCTGGACAGAAAGTACAGGCTATGCAAAGACTTTATTACTGTTTAATTCCCAGTTTGACTCTGTTCTCCACATTCTGTTTTAACTGTCTTCTCTTCACCCCCTTGTTTTCCACTCAAGGATTATGGGGAGGACTGAACACACAATGAGATCACTGGTAACTCATTAGTTCAAATGTACTCATTGCCCAGGGGAAGAGGATCAATAAGGTCACAGGAAGTGTCATTCGGGTATCGAGTGAGCAACCAGGGCTGGTGAGAGGCAAGTTTTGTAGAATCAAGAGGAATGGAAGGAGGCCTCTGGTTCCCGCAAGAGGATGACTGGTTGTTTGAACAATTCTGCAGGCAGACAGGGAGGGCACTGAAGCTCACTGTTCAATCAACAGGAGCACATGCAGTGCTCGTGACAAGGAGGAGTATTTGGTCAGTGGAACTTGCTCAAGGGAGCAAATGGGGAAAGGAGCTTATGGGTCAGCCAGCCGAGCCCCCCTCAGTTCCACCAGATGTGCAGGCAGTACGTATATTGAAACATCATTTTAGGCCTTCCACCACACATTACCATCAGTCTTTCCTTGTACCCCTGTTTATTGTCCATCTTTTAATATTTCAACAAACATATAATGAGTTTATAATCTGATCATTTGGCTGCTAGGTATTGATTTCATACTGCCTTGTATTACAGTCAGTTGGTTGCATATTGCTCTGTTTCACAAAATTGTAAGCTCATGCATCTCTGTATCTCCTATGGATGCTTGGTACATACTAACAATACAATAAATGTTAAACTGAAATGGATTTTCCTCTAATTTATGTAGAAATTATTTTCCATTTGAAAGATTCTACATCCTTCAATGTGTCTTTATATTCTTAAAAAATAACATTTTCTGACATATAACAAAAGATCCTATTTTAACTTCGAGTTGCATGGGAAATGGAGTAACATTTTAAAATCTATTTAAGTCTGACATAGGATGCGGTGTGCGGGAACAGCGGACGACCTCACAGTTTTACCATCTATCGCCTGCTGCCTGCATGACCCACTGCCAGCGAGTCCACGCTGACTCACTGAGATGCCTGAGGCCTATCTGGCATTATCAACGTTATCAACGCTTTTATAACATTTATCTTTTCATCATCATCTTTCTTTATTTTCTTCCAAAGGTGATATGAGTTGTTGTTTTTTTCTTAAGGCAATGAGCCTTAGCTGAATAATGTTGACATACTCAAATCCACAATCACATTAAAGACAAATCATTTTCAATTAGATGGGCCATTCGCATGTTCAACTTGGCTTCAAAGCTGGCTTGAAAAGACGGATTATGGAACGCACTAGTTACTTCCGTCACGTAAATCACTTCTGAATTTTCAAGTTCAGTGAGGAGATTCCCCCCGTTTCCGTCTCTAAAATACTGAGACCATTCTGCTTGCCCCGAGCTTGCATTTCAAACAGATTTTGTGCTTCACAGATTTGGACTTGTCCTTAAATCCAAGTGGGGAAGTAACTAAGCAGATCGGTGATGCCCTGCCCGTATCATGCACGGTCTCTGCTAGTAGGAATGCGACTGTGGTGTGGATGAAAGTAAGTAATATTTCGTGGCAATGTCTGACTGTTAGAATTTCCTTTTTTAGGTTTCTTTTTCATCTTATATCTGAAAAAATGTACATTCTTGAACAATATGCTTATACATCATACTCAAATCCCAGTACACTCAGGCCCTCCCTCAATAACACAAATCAAACCCCAGTGCCAGTTTAGAGGTAATCCCAACCTGTGTGTCTTTAATTGAGGCTCCGAAACTATTTGAGGCTGCTACTGTAATTATGAACAGATATTAAATAATTTTCACAGACTCATGTACAGTCATATACTTTACAGCTCAAAACGTTGTATGCTATCTTAGCCTACATTGTGCTTTATGATTATAATAACCCTTGAAGTAAACAGGGCCTTTGCCCTTTTGTCCATGATACTCCTTACAAAATGTAGAGACACCAGGAAGCTCCGACGTGTTGGAATGGGGAGACATTACGTAATTTAAATACTCTGCTTTCACCGAGCACATTTCTGCCTACATGCTTGCAAAAGTTCTCATCAGTTTCTGAATTTGGAGTCCACTGGATAAGGGGAGCACCTTGAAACAGAGTCGTGTTCTCCCGGGGCCGCAGCAGGATACCTGGAACCTAAAGAGGTCGGGTCACCCTTTCTTGAGCAAGTGCTCCTATTCCTGCAATCGTCTGAAATGTCAGCCGTTCTGCGGAGACCCGTAGAGTGCTAGGTCCCTAGGACGAGCAAGATTGATAAGCAATCATACGAGGTGAGGTTTGCAATGAAGGAAAATGTTAGGACTGTGGTTCCTCATGAACCCTTTGGAAATAAGGATTGAAAATATCTTTATAAAGCTTGGAGAGAAATTTACATTAAGAATTTCTTCTTAATGAAGATACCTATTATGTCGTATCCCTCTGCTGTACTAGTTACTTTACTAATTGCTTTCTTATTAAAGCTCAGGTTCTGATTTTGCTCTTTTGGCCACACTCTCGTTACCCCGCCTCAACTTCTTGGCCACTGCACAAATTAAAGTGCCACTCCGTTGCCTGCATGCTCAATATGCGCATTTGTTGCATTCATTGGCCAAATGAATAGACAAGTTTTAGGCAACAAACCAATAATTATATGAACACACTATAATAACAATGTGGCATAGCTCTAGAGAAACTATGTTCCCATTCGCTAAGCCATATCAGTCATGAAGTCCCTGGGTGATGTCAATACATGGCTAATGTGCTTGGCTGCTAAAGCCAATGGCTGTAGAGGATAAAGGTTGGTGTCTGTCTGTGGGCACCAGGGAGGAAAGACCTGGCGATCTACTTCCAGAAGATCCGTGACTGAAACCCCTAGGAAGCAGTCTTCTGCTCTCAGATACGTGGAGCTTCCAGGAGTCAGAATCAAGTCCGTAGCCACTGATTTTTTTTAAAATGGACATGGCTTTTCCATATTCTCAGGTTAGGTAATGGAGGATGGGGGGCACGCATAATGGACAAAAATCACACAATCAGGATTGTGTTTAGTTGTCTGCTGAGGAATAGTTTAAGTCCAGGTAAAATAGATCGAATTATTTTCAGTGTGTCAAGTAATTGTTAAATTAAGCATCACATTTCTGCTGTTGATGAGAGTTACCCTATTAATCTGGATTTAAAGCCCTGTAGAAAATCATTCTTGACATAACTGTCATGACTTAGTAATGGATCACTTACCCTGATAATTGTATCATATTAAAATAACTCAGACATTTAAGCTTGCCTTTCATTACATATATGTTTCCAGTGGTGGGATTCAGCTAGTTTGCACCAGTTCGGCAGAACTGATACATCAGTATTTTGTTGAGTTTGGCGAAATGCTTGTTAAAATGGCTCTCTCAAAGGTGGATGCCTGTGCAGCCGGCGAATGTGGAAACCACAAATTTACATTTTCAATGCTCAACTGCTCAACAGGGTTGTTGTGAAACCATGTTAAAATAATAAACTGCCTTTCAGTATATATTGTTGTTGTTGTTGCTTTCAAAATACTTAAAACAGTCATCAGGGCAGTAAACTGGTTGTTAAATGACTAAATCCCACCACTGACTATTTCCATGTATGTTAACCTGGATATAAACCATTGCCTCCTACTAAAAATAAGGCGTTAATACCATTGAGAACTTCCTTGAATGTAAACATTATTTTTCTCACAAAAGAGTCATATCATGTGGTACAACTATTACCTCACTTTACAAGTAAAGGACTGAGTTTCCCAAGTTTATGAACTTGCTCCAAATTATAAATAAAGGCAGAGTCTAAAATAAAAGTCTTATCTGTCTGACTCCCCAAATCTGTAAGAAAGGGGGAAATATATATTTTGAAAGCACCTATTGTTAAGGGGGGAAAAGGGCTTACATTTTCTAAGGAGGAATAGTTTTGTCCAACAAGGGGCTGGAGACTACGAACTGCTCTGTGCTCAGTCATTCCCTTTCCGTTGCATCAGGACAGCGCCAGGCTCCGGTCCAGCCCCTTGTTCTCTAGTCTGCGGTATCAGGATGCCGGCAACTATGTCTGCGAGAGTGCTCTGCAAGAGGTTGGCGGGCTAAAGAAAAGAGCATCGCTGACTCTGGTTGTAGAAGGTAATACGACCCTTTGGACAGCAGTTCAACTCTTTCTTGGAAAATGTGGGGGTTTGGACTTCTTTTGTGATCTCAAGTCAACACTTTTCATTGTAATGATATTTTAGGGAAACCTCAAATCAAAATGACAAAGAAAACCGATCCCAGTGGACTGTCTAAAACCATAACCTGCCATGTGGAAGGTTTTCCAAAGCCAGCTATACAGTGGACAATTACTGGCAGTGGAAGCGTCATAAACCAAGCAAGTATTTGTTCCTTGTTATATGCTGCAGCTGGTCCGAGATGGGATTTAAGCACCTAAACTTAGTCTAAGATTGTTTGTTACTAACATGCAGTTCTCAGTATGTTCTCAGAGGAAGCTTTTGTTAACATCTTAGTTTTCTCAAAAGAACAATTCCTGAAAGAGAAAACTTAAATCCCAAGAACATGGAGAATGGAAGAACTAACTACTTTGTTTTGTCTACAACTCTTTTTAAAGATTGTAAATTGCAGGCTATTCCATGCTCATACATTTTTGAAACCTGGGTGATAAAAATAGGAAGACACACTTTTCGGCACCACAGACTTATACACCAGACCTTAAATGGCTTCCCTTACTTTGTATATGCTTCTTAAAGTGACCTGTAACATTTTACTACTGTGTTAGTCTGGGTAGACTAGAGAAACAAATTCATGGACACTCATGTGTATAAGAAAGAGCTTTAGATACAAGAGCAGTTCAATATTGAGAAAACATCCTAGCCCACTCCACATCAAGTCCAATACCAATCGATAAAGTCCTCTTCAGACTCACAAAACACATGCAATGATGCCGAATGCAGGAAGTTCACAGGCCAGTGGATAGAAAGTCTTGTGGATCCAGTGGTGTTGTAAGCATCTCAGCTCTGGAAGGGGTCTCCACATGGCTTCTCCATTTCAGGGCACTAGTGTAGTTCCATGTATCTTGTCAACTGCAATGTCTCCCATGGAGTGAGCAGAGAGAGAGTGTGCGCGTCTCCTGCCTCCAGGGAGGAATACAGGAGTTCCCAGAATCCTCAGGAGAAGGCCATGCCAGAGGCCTCATTGGCTATGATCTGATTGACAGGTTAGACTCCACCCCATGAATCTATAACTATCACAACTAGTGGCCCCTGAATAAAAATGTTAAGAATCTGGTTTGTCATTAAGGGTTCAAAACTCTAGTCCCACTAAATTTCTAGTCTGACTGGGTTTCTGGCATACATGTGAACTCCATTTTCTCTACAACACTTATATGCAACTCAGTGGTGCCAGTTAAAGATTTTTGAGGTACACCCAAAGGTAGTTTTTGATTATTTGACCCTTAGGAACTGTTCCCACCTTTGGACCCAGGTGAAAATTGAGAAAGCACGCATAAAACAGAGACTTGCAGTTTAATCTTAAATTTAAATCTTCAGTCTCCATCTGTGCATAATGCATTTGTACCTGACTCAGTTCACTCACATTTTATTTTGGGTCGTTTACTTATGGAAGATAACATATAGTTACAGGTATATAAAGACCATCATAGGATTAGATGCAATGGATGCAAAGGCCTCTTGATTTTATGATGGAGATGCAGCTGTAAAAGAAGGGAAACGGGCTTGGGTCCTTTCAGCACTTAGGAAATGCAATGTGGAGGACGGCGAATAAACCTGAATTACTGCCAATATATATAGATCTACTTGTTAACATCACAGATGACATGGTCTTCTCTGCTAATTTTGCTCTTTAATTGAATTAATTGATAAATGCAGCAAAAAATAAGTTTGGGTTTGTGATAATGTAGGCTTAAAATTAAGAAAATACGGAGACACTAAATATTTGATGATTGACATAATACAAAGATTTAAAACACCTTCCTAAAAGTGAACAAATACATTTTTGTGGAAAGTGGTGAAATCAAAGATTCATTGAGAAAGCCAAGTGAAAAGTTCTCCTGGGAAGTGGAATATAGCAGGTGAATTTACTATAAGAATAAAAACAATCATGCCATCCCTCACTGTCAAGTAGAAAGATTGATTCTTCCTCACTGAGTGATGTGTTATTTTTCTTGTTCTAGGTTTATGCTGACCTATTTATAATCTTTTATTCCCTTTTCAATCACATGCTAAATCTATTATTTTACATCTGCTAGCTATCTCTTTACAACCCCAGGAGAGAGAAATTGTCCCAAACATGAAACTAGGTCTTGTCCACAAGGTGCTTACAATGTAGATAAGGCAAAAGCATAGAGAAAAAATATAAGAAGTGATGGATATCGTGTGGCAGAGAAAAGAGCTCAACGACATATCTGCTTAACTGGTGATGAAATTAAGAGTCAAGTTGGTCTAAAGAAAATATTAAGGTGAAATGTCTCCTACATTTCAAGAAATTGAAATGGTTGCCCTCACTTACATCTTGCAAAAATCAAATGAAAGGAAACCAATCATTGAAAAATGGTATTCTGCTCTGGATAATTCAGAATAATGGTTCTGTTAACCCATTAGTAAATCATTATAATATAAAATAATATGGAAACGCACACTGCAATATACTGTAATCAATTGTATCTGTTAAAAAGGCAGTGGAGAAGCTCAATACCATAAATCAGAATAAGACCTTGCGCGACAGACCTCAATTTTTCACATTGCAAGTTCAAATTGAAGCTGAAGAAAATTCATGAAAGTCCTTGAGAGGTGAGTGCAGACGGGACTCTACCCCCACCCCTGAATTTAGAGACTATCCCAAGAACAGATTTTTAAAAGGACAGATCTGTATGAGACCACTATTCTGAAGTCATGAACCGTTTTCACACAAAAACATTCCCAAGGTTTAAAGGGAAAGAGAGGGAGGCGAAGGCATGAGCTGGCATGTGGACAAGTGTTAACCTGGGTAAAGGGAAGGTTGGCACCAAGTGACGTGTACAGGGGAAGGCACTAGGAGGTGTGCACGAGCTGACGGCATGAGAGAAACCACTGGGAGAGGCCCAGTTCTAAACGAGTGATGAGCTCGTCACTCTGACAGAACCAGAAGCTGGACCAGTGATGGAGAGAAGGAGAAAACATGCACAAATACATTTCAGCTTGACCGAGAATCCAGCGTTGACTTGATCGTGGTGAGTTTGGTGTAGTTTGGTTATTTACCTTTGCTGCAATTATATCCATGAATTTCGTGAAGCAACATAAAAAGGCCCAAGTCATGAAAACTTCTTCGACAGAACCAAAAAAGCAGTGAGGGAATGACTAACACCGGGAAGAAAGAGGGCATGTGATGGTAGAGGATAAATAGGATATGTGCGGGTACGAGAGTGTGTGCGTTGAAATAAAATGCATAAGAATTGTCAAGTTATTAAAAGCTGGTTGTTTGCTCTCCACATCATCACCTAATGGACAACACAGAGTTAACAATCAATAAAGAACACAGCTGACACCTGAGCACTAAGGACTGAAAGTCAGGTAAGTTGTCAGACGGCGTAAAGGACATGGCTCCTGAAGCAAGCAGGAGGTCACTCAGAAGACGGAAATAAAGAAAAGACCAATGAATGTCATAAGAGACCCTGAACTTCACTCTTGATTGTACAGTAGCCAAAGCTAATAGAAGGGGAAAAACGGTGAGGGGAAAGAGCTGAACAGATTTCAATGGGCAGCTCAAGAAGATAATGTATTATAATGAAATGTGCAAAGGCCTACAGATAAAAAATCAAAAGAGCAAGCCAACATTTCTAAATGAACTAAATATAGAAATGCAAACCGTGAGTTCCAATACTGAAGGATTTTTTTTATGGGCAAGATATTGAAGAATGGTGGAAGCATAAAGAGAAAATGAAAGTAGTGCACCGAGTAACAAAGAGAAAGTGTTTTACGTGAACAGCATTTTAAGAGGTAACGTGTGGTTAAAAACTAGGGGTACAGAGGAAGGACTTCAAGTCTACACTGAAGACACCAACAAAAAGCAAGGATCTAGTAATGGATGGGACAGCAGTTGAGATGCTTCATTACAAGGGTAAAAAAAACTGGAAGTGCTCACTCATTTACACCACAAAAGGAAGTTAACGTGAAACACTTAAAGCTGACTGAGAGAGGTCCATATTTGTGTCTGTTCCAAAGAAAGGATATTTCAAAAGATGTGGAAATCATTTAATGATATTATTTCCATATGCAAATAAAACCTTGCCGAAGATAACTGTTAAGATAATATCAACAGGGAGCTTCCAGAAATTTAAGCCAGCATTAGAAGAGGAAGTGGAATGAGGAACATTCTTTTTGACATCCGGTGGCTCTTGGCTGAAAGCTGAGGATACTAGAAAGATGTTGTCCTGTGTTTTATTGATGATGCATAGGTGTATGTGTAAATCATAACTAATTGTGGATAACATTGTGAAGAGTAGAAATTTCAGAACATTTAATTGTGCTCACGAGGAATGTATTCATAGAGTAAAAGGTAATCATTCAATCAGAACAAAGAAGGATACCAGGCAGTTTAAAATCAGGAAATGATTCATTAGTATTGTGTCTTTTGACCATTCTTAGTTCATCTGTATGCGGATCAAAGAATACAAGAGAAGAAGAACACAATGTCATTAATAACCTTGATATGCAGATGATACAATCTTCTATGCTGAAAATGAAGAGAATTCGAAGCATTGGTTGATGAAGATCACATGTCCTGCAGTATGGATTCCATATGAATATGTAGAAAACAAAAATCCTCACAAATTGAATGAATAGGAAACATCATGATAAGTGGAGAAAAGATTGAGGCTGACCATGATTTCATTATACACTATCCATAATCAACACCCATAGAAACAACAGTTTAAAAATCAAGTGATCTAGTACATTGGACAAATCTGCTGCAAAATGCCTCTTTCAAGTGTTAAAAAACAAAGAGGCTGATTTTGAGGAGCAAAATGTGCCTGATCCAAGACATGATACTTTGCATCTTCTCATTTAGGTGTAAAAGCTAACTAATGAATAAGGAAGACCACAAGAGAATTGATACTTTTGAATTATGATGTTGGTAAAAAAAATATTGACTGCCGGAAGAACAAACTACCAGTAAGAAGAACTTCCAGAAGAATGAGCAAATAAGTTCCTTAGACATGATAAGGTCAAGACATACTGTGGACATGTTATAAGGATGCCTCAGTGAAAATGAGGAAGATTTTCAACAAGATAGATGGACACTTTGGCTGGACTAATGGGTTCAAACATGACACTGAGTGTGTGAAGGGTACCAGACCAGACAGTGTATTGCTCTAGTGTAAAAGGGCCCATATGAGACAGAGTAGACTAGATATCACCTAAAGCCTTACAGCAAATCACACGTACATGTGCATTTAGACATACTAGTTAAAGATCATGAAGGGAACCTCTTTAGTGAGGAACAATGATAAAATTCACAAATAATGAGATTCCTAAGTTTATTTAGGGGAAATTGATGATCATAATAATCACTAATTGATCCTTTTGAGACAAGTGTCATCATGCCAAAATATTGACTAAGCTTGATTTTCTATTGAAAAAGAAGAGCTTAATTATTCATAAATCATTAGAAGTCATAATAGAAGCATGGATATAGCATTATGGATTTTCTAATAATTCCCTTTCCTGCTGTAGCTGTAAACCTGAAACTGATCGTTGATAGTTGATCATACATAACCGGACATCAGACAGCAGTACAGAGAACCACACCTATCCTACAGCATTTGGTATTACTCTTTGCCACGCTTTCAAATCCATTTCCATTAATCAATCTGTCTCCTCTCTTGCAGACGGAGGAATCTCCTTATGTCAATGGCAGGTATTCTAGTAAAATTATCATTTCCCCCGAGGAGAATGTCACACTAACTTGCACAGCAGAAAACCAGCTGGAGAAAACAGTAAACTCCCTGAATGTCTCTGCCAGTGAGTATTCCATTTCTGGCATTTTATAAAGATAGAAACAGTCAGAAAATGCGAAGTCATTCTTCATTAGTTTAAAACCTTCAATTCCATCTTCCTGTTCTGCATTAGGGTAAGTTTTATTTATTTATTAAGTTTGCATGCGGCATCGTCATCCCCAGGTTCCTCCTTTTCCCGTGTTCATTCACACGCTATCCTTGTCTTGCAAGTGAAATCATCTCATCATTTGAGTCCGGACCCTTACCCGGCACCACAGGATTTCTCCACAGCAACAGAGAGCGGAGTCGCTCTTCTCGACATATAGATGCTGTTGAAATATATGTGTGTGTATACTTCCATAGATTAGGGTTTGTGTTCAGAGTAGAGAAAATGCAGAGATGTACCATGTTCGTAACTTTTCAATTTGGTAAACTTTTCAGGCCCCTTAGCTACTAGTTTGCACTTAAGTGGGTGTGGGAATTACGCTGCCTTGACCTTGGACAGGAACGCCACGCGCTTGAGTCCATTCAATGAGTCGGTAGCGATGCTGGCATGACTTGTGCGGCTGTCTTGGCTCTAGCCATATCTAAGCCACAGCCGGGAATCAGATAAACGGTATTATCTCAGATGAAGTGAAAACTCTGTGAGGTCTAAAATGGAAGTGATACACACATACTAGCAGCAGTTCTTTGGAAAATAATTTTCATTTAACATACAAGTCTCTTTCATTTTCAATTCTGAGACTGTCTCTATTGCCAGGATAACTTTAAATCAGGACCAGCCTAGAACAAAGGTTGGTTCAGGACAGAATGCTGATTCCAAACTTGTATCCTTCAGTCCTATTGCATCTTGTGCATTAAATTTACAGGCTATGGACACACAGCTCAGAGAAGATACTTTTGTAATAGTTCTAAACAGATTATGACTGGAATAGAAAAAACTGATGGATTAACCAGAGGAAATAATCAAACCTACGTAACGCTAAAATAAGTGCACGAACTTTTCAGAATTTAATTCAGCGAGGATTGATTCATGCTACCTAGAAAGGGAACCTATCCTTTCTTCCCCAACACAAGTCTCGAGTTTTATTCTAACTCCCTGAATAGGGTGTTTCAGTGTTCCAGACCTTGCTTGGTTGACATCTGATACAGCTGAGTTCAACTTCAGTGAGCACCTGCATTTTTATCAGTGTGAATGGAGAGCAGCCAAAGATTTGCATTTTAACAAATATCAAAAGAAGTCCTATGGGAACCCATGGACCATATTTTGAAGAAGACTTACGTAGTTTAATACCAAATGCTAATCCACGACAGCAGGAATTAGTAAGAGAGGGCAAGGATATTGCCTGTCAGAATCATTTGTAGGACTTTTATAAGCATCACACATCTTGCCCCCTAAGCTGTGAGACACTTTCAATGTTACAATCTATTTCTACCATTTGGAGAACTTCTCTAGGTACAAATTCTAGAAGCAGAGGAATAAAATGAATTATCCTGTATTGAGTCAGAAAGAAAAAATTTTAAGATGATAGTATTGAAGGTTTTCATAGCGGTTCCTCTTAAAAGTTAAGTACTATTAGAAGTAGTATATAGTGGGGAAATTAATTTGAAGTTCATATTAATACTAAAGCTTGTCAGTTGTGAAATTTTCTATGGTAGATTAATGCTTTGACAGTGTTATCTACTTTCCTTTTCTCAAAAATAAATGAATTTCCTTGTAGAGAATTTCATGCTCTATTAAGTATATATATATTTTTTTTTCTTACCCTTAACTGTAGAATAGATATTTTATGTTTGAATACTATTACATCATACTATAATGGTAAAGGTACTTTAATATATCAACAAATTTTGTTTTTAATTTCATATTAACATTTTTCATTTCAGTAAGTATTCAAGAACACGATGAACCAGACGATCTAAGTGGTAGGTACTATGCTGCCGACTCTTCTTCCTTGTCTATCAGCTCAAGACTTATGAAATACCATTCTATCACTACTTACATAAGCTCTACACAAATTTGACTTGAATTGAAAGAGCAAATGAGACAAGGTAGTAAGAATGCTAACATTGTGCCCCTTAAAATCACAAGTAAAATTTGCTTCTCAGTTATAGAATGAGCCTTAGGCATGCTTCATAAGTAGTAACTAGATTGCGTTCTTTTTAAAATCCCCTGATTTAGCTGTAATCGCCTGGATTTTTCTTTTCTTGCTGTAGATGAAAACAGAGAGAAGGTGAATGACCAGGCAAAGCTCATTGTGGGAATCGTCGTTGGGCTCCTCCTCGCTGCCCTTGTTGCTGGCGTCGTCTACTGGTTGTACATGAAGAAATCCAAGTAAGCCAAACCTAAACATCTTCATTGTTCATTGGCTTTCACTGGGAGAAAACCAAGTGTTTGTTAAGCTCATTCCCACTGTGCGTGTGACATCTGCGATAAGCGAATGAGTGCCCGTCTCCGCGGATCGTGGACGGCCCTCGGCTCACAGTGGCCCGCTTGCCGACATGGGGCAGTGGCCTGGGGACTGATTGCACAGGTGATGGACTAGCTCCTCTTAGTCACCAGTGTGGGTTTAATGATTTGATTTTACAGTGTCTCGGTGAATGTTTTAAAAAGGCAGACAGCCCAAAGGTCAACCATTTTTAATGGCTTGGCTGAGACTGGGGAAGATTAATTGCAATACTGCATGGGTTTTCAGGTGTCTCTGCAGTGACAGGTTTGACCAGCGAGGAATTTGCAAGTGATGGAAGGGGAGAGCATGTAGTCACAGCCCCTATTTTTTTAGTCACTGTTCTAGTTTGTTCCATGGAAGCGACTAATTCAGAGAACAGTCGAAGGTTATTTTGGATTTAATTAAAATAACTTATTAGACAAAGTCCAAAAACTATATTTTGAATTGCTGTAGGTGCTGTTTAAAAATGAGAACAGTTATATAATAAAATAGTATGAACTTTACAAATCCTCTAATAGTGGCTTATAATGCAAATCGGATTAACCCCTGAAGATTCTGAAACTGCACACATCGAATAGTCCTCATTTCCTTAACTCGACCACAGATTCAGAAGGAGTTGGACAGCAATAGGTTGCTAGCCCATGCATTGCTTTAAAGCTACATTGGCGATCTTGTGGTATAGCCCTGGTCTTAATCATGCTCATTTTACCAAAGGGTATGTTAGCTTCTACAAGGGTATGTCCGTAAGTCCTTGTGACTTTGGACTTAATTTTACTTATTGATGTCTGATAGACACATTAACTTAAAATCTAAATAAAATGCCAACTCAGATCAGGATCCATTATTTTACCTTATAAAGACATCAGTTTCTATGATGTCTTTATACTGGGCCAAGACAGATTATGAGCTGCCATTCAGAGAGATCGATAGCTCAGGATGTTTATCGTTATCTAACCATGTGAACGTAAGCTGGACTCCATTCTAAATATTTCTGTGCACTTAAAATTCATAGCACATGAGTGATATATACTATAATTTATATTTTACATTTGGAAAACCAAGACAAAATGAACCAGTGATTTGCCTAAAGTTATGTAGCTGGGAAGGGGCCAAATTACTATGGTATTTGATTCAAGGCAGTGATGTTTGGGAATCTTGCTGCCTAATAATTAGGTTTAATTTCCTCTACACTTTGTCATGAGGCAGAAGCAATTTTCTTTCTCTTTTTTAATCATTTCATTAGGGGCTCATACAACTTTTATCACAATCCATACATACGTCAGTTGTGTAAAGCACATTTGTACATTCATTGACCTCATCATTCTCAAAACATTTGCTCTCCACTTAAGCCTCTGGCATCAGCTCTTCCTTTTTTTCCCCTCCCTCCCCCTTCCCCCCTTCCCCGTCCCCCCTTCCTCATGAACCCAAAGCCCATCTGTAGGCCACTGGACATCCCCTTACAGAAGGCTCACGGGGAGGAGAAGAGCCAGTCAAGGTGCAATGTAGCACCAATGAAACATACAACTTTCCTCTAGTTCCTAAATGCTTCCCACCCTCCACCCACCCCCCACTATCATGATCCCAATTCTACCTTGCAAGTCTGGCTAGACCAGAGAATGTACACTGGTACAGATAAGAACCAGGAATCCAGGGCGGATGATCCATTCAGGACCAGTGGTGTGAGTGGCAATACTGGGAGCATAGAGGTAGAGTTGGTTGGAAAGGGGAAACCGATTGCAAGGATCTACATGTGACCTCCTCCCTCGGGGACAGACAACAGAAAAGTGAGTGAAGGGAGACATCTGACAGTGCAAGATACGACAAAATAATAATTGATAAATTATCAAGGCAGAGACAATTTACATCATGTGTTGCAGCCGATGTACACGTCTGCTCTCACATCGAGTTCTCACGCCCGTTCTCGCCTGTCCATGCAGTCCCCATCACCACGTTCTTTTCCCCAGTTAACATTTCATCTAAAAGCCCTTCATGTGTGTTTGCACCCATGATATCGATGGAAACCTTATTGTCTGTACCATGTACATGAAACAAAATACACATAAACGGCTGCTCAGAGGCAATACCTATCTTACAGAAATTCTATGGGTGCAAGTTTCCTAATGAGCAAGATCTGACCCTTTCTTTATCATCCACGTTGACACTCAGAAATCTAATAGCTTGGGCTCTGCAGCATTTCCATGCAATATATTTTAAGTTGATAAGTTACTTCAGTTCTTAGAGAGGGAAAATAATGTCGTCCCTAATCCTGGAAAGTAAACTGCAATTCGGTCCACTGTGGTCCAGTGCACGTTAAATTCCTGATGCACCTCGGGCTCCATTATCCTCCTACTCTAATTGTCAGCATCTTATCAGACATAGTTTGCCCTTCTGAGACTAGAAGATAGTGATGTGTGTTTCAGTTTCTTCATGAGCCATTGCCATACGGTGATGCAGAACTAAAACTAGGGACAAATGAATACTGGATACTTGGCTTCACAACATCCTCGGGTTAACGCTTCATGCATTTCCTTTTAAGTATCTCATTAAATTAAGTGCAACTTTTACCATCTGACTTGTACATCTCTCTGAATAATGGTTATTTAATTGAAAAGTGCACCAACTTTGGTAGAGTTAATATTATTGGCAATCAAAGTAATAAACTGCAACTCAAATAGCAAGCACCAAGCTGTTTTTATTAAGAATTTGTGGACCACTTCAGATTCGCTAAGTACTTTGCTCTTCGGATTTTTGCTAGTGGCCTGCTAGAAGGCAGCATTTTAGCAAAGTGAGTTTGTGTGGCTCACCCCTGAAGCCGCTTGTGCAGGCGAGGTGTGCATGACCTTTCATACCAGGGCGTATAAGGTAAGAACTGCTAAGGCCACTTGGGGACCGACTACTCTTTTCCCTTTTTCTCTTCCAGATAACCCCGTCAACTGTAAAAAAATCAATATGAGGGTTTCATTTCTATCTTTAGCTAACTTGTCACCATTTTACATGGATATCAGAAATTTCTAACAAAGGTATGGCCCACACTTTTTCATAGATACCTAAAGATATATAGCCCTATGTTTACCATCTCAAAAAAATAACACCATCAGCAATCTTTATGATTCACACATTTCTGCCAACCATGTGCTTACCAATTAAACTATATGCCACACATTTTGCTTAAAAGACTCACTGATCCACCAACCTAAGCAATACAGTATTAACACTGTATACAGAAAATTATTTGCACTGGCAATTTAAACAGTTGCAGGAGAAAAAAGACAGAAACAACATTTTGTTTTTAAATATTTGTATGGCTACTTAGCCGACATACACAGCTCATGCCACTGATAAAGAAGCACCATCTTTTTAATCGACTTCAACCACCACCAGGAGCACTTCAGTGTTGTGTTCCTTTCTCATTGTGATATATTAGGCTCGCTGCAGAATAAGGCAGGCAATCCTCTGCTGCACTGACCCACATGACTTCTCACTGGACGGTCTTTATGGCTAGAGAATGGATGGCTCTGACCACTTGCATGTATGAGGGGCATTAACTGAGCATGCCAAGCAAAAGTCCTTAGTTGGTTAAATCCACTCCATGCCTGGCTATTTAACAGAGACTAGATTTTTAGGGAACTAGAAGTCATCCATGATTTCGTTTTGTTTTCATTCCTCTACTGTTTTCTCCAAAATTCTCTTGGGACTGCAGACACTAGAATATTACTGCTTGCACCCCTAAAGCGTCTCCCACGTATCTGAGTAAAAGAATTAATGAAAATTTAAAAGAGCTAAAGATAAAGGAAAGATACAAAGAATGGATAATGTGGCCATAAAGTTATTCAAAATTCATCACAAACATAATTTCCAAATTGGTTGCCTTTGTGAGGTACATGACTACCATGTATCTTATAGCCTAAGAGTAAGCATTAACGACATGCTTATTATTCTTATTAATTATTATAAAAAGTATTATTCTAGTTATGCCTTACCTAATACAATTGTATTTCAGGATGTTTTCTAGTGAAGAAAACAAAAATCCAAAGGAAACAATAAGAAGTGTAAATCTACAGTTAGGACAGGAGAGAGCTCCCCTGTAACACTGCACCTCAAGAAACAATGCTGTATTAAGCCGTTCTAAAATATTTTCTAATTAGTATCTCTTGATAGATAATACATATGTATCTTGCAAGAAAATCTATTCAGATGGAATTATATTTTCTAATCAACACTTACTCTAAAATCACATGTCCATGAAGTGGAGGGGTTGCCCCTGAAGAGATGGAAAAGATAGTGAGGTTGTGCTGGAAGGCCATTTAAAGCTCAGCCTTAATGACTTGCCCATGCATCGCCATAAATGTGTCTACTATTCTCCAGGAAGGGGGTACACACTGTTTGTACCTTCACTGAAATGTTCAGACTTTTGATGAGGTAAACACATTTAATGCTATTTCATGGAATCTAAGGAGGAGTGACGGCATCCTGGTCAACCAACTATTGGGTTGCTAAGCTCGTTGTTAACAATTCCAGCTCATCAGATGGTCCATGGAAAAGAGATGAGGCTTTCTGCTCCCCGTAAAGATGTACAGCCTTTGAAACTCACAGGGTAGATCTACTCTGTCCTATAGGGTCACGACGAGTTGGAATCAACTCAATGGCATGGAGTGGTTATTTTGGTTTGGTTTCATTTCATTTTGTTTTGGAAGGTTCGATGAGCTGAGTCTGCCCGGTAGATCACAAGTAGTATTGCTCTTCAAATCCCATACAGGTCCACGGGATTGCTTAACGTACACTATACATGCTGTGAAATAGGAAATCGTGTTATTTGAACATTGTGTGAACAGCGTACTAAAACCTTATGTGAGCCCACTTCGGGTTGTCCTTGTTGCCACTGCCG